AGATAGAGTTGCACCCTCTACCCCCTGAGCCAGCCAGGCCCCCCCTAAATTACTTCTTTTTAACAATGATGCTTGGATTAGACATCAAATAGTTAACTGTTTTCTTAGTTATTTTTTTGTTGACAAATTTTGGAGACGTGCTTGCTTCTATTAAACCAACGAATTTGAATTAATTTTTACTTATCAAAGATTATCGCAGATCGTGTGAACTTGAAAAAATATTTGGGTTACTTTCTACATTTCTGAGAGTATACTTGATTTATATAAACAAATTTCTTTAAGCCAATTAAAATAGAGTTCTTTACAAATTAGTTTTGGCAATACCATCCAGAGGTAGAAAAATATCACACGTCTATAATGTACATACACAGACACACAGATAACCTGACACGCAGAGCTCTTCCAGCTTGTGTTTTAAAAAGTTTAGCCGTGTCTCGGATACAAAACTCAAAAAAACTAGATCCAAACTGTGTTTCTGGCACATGCACTAAGTTAAGGTTACATGGTCAGATGACCAAAGTTTTTACGAAAGATTTGTATTTGCATGCTACATGCAAGGATCCTTCCAGAACTGTTTTTTGAGGTCATTTTGTCTTTTAGAAGCTTCTCGGCCTCTCTCTCCATCCGGTCTCCTGGTTTGTGAGATGAGACTTTCAGCCCCGGGAATCTCTGGGATACCTTCCATGGCCAGCCCTCTACGATTCTAACAGCTAAGGACGTTTCATCTGCCGGAATATTCTCTCTCCCACCCCTCCTGTATTTTAGGGTCCCTGTGAAACTGTGCACACCGTATCTATCAAGCTCACTGCCTAGAAAGGGGGCCCAGTCAGCCCAGCGTGCGTGAGACGCTGGAAGGAGCCGGGGCGCATCTCGGCGTGGGGCAGGGGCACTCCGAGGCCAGAAGGGGTGATGCAGGTGCAAGAGGGGGGCCAGTTCGTCCCTCCTTCGGGGTTAAGGACGGGTCGGTGCACACGGGAGATGAGCAGGACGGTGCCCCCCGGGCTTCCTGGGGGAGAGACGAGAGCCAGCGTGCTCCCCGTGCTGGCACGGGACGGACACCAGCTCCGCGCGGGTTTGCGGTTCGTGTCAAGCAGGCACAGGGAACTGCATCCTTGCTCACGATGGGCTGCACGGCAGGCTGCCCCCAAACAGGCCACTTTGGCCTATTGACTGTTTTGAACTTAGTTACAGGAGAAGCAGCGGGCGCAAGGACTCTCTGACCTCCTTTGTGCCCTGGAAGCAGGACCTAAGTGTCCCCCGTGAAGGTCCGCGTCCTGTCCCGGGAGGAAGGGAGACAGCCTTCTTGCCAGCGATGGGGACGTCAAGGCCGAGAAGGCTGTGTAAGCAAACCGGCTACTTCTTCGCTGCTTCGCTACCCCAAGCCCCAGCTTCTGTCAGTGCTTCACAGATTCATGGTTTCTTTGTCTAAAAGGTGTAAAAGCTGCTAGCTTGGCTCACTTCTTGGAGTCTCCTATTTCTATGGGCTCCCATACGTACACAATTAAATTTGTTTTTCTCCTGTTAACCTGTCTTCTGCCGATTTCATTATTAGACCAGCCAAAGAACCCAGAAGGGAAGAAAGGAAAACTTTCCTGCCTCTACACTCAGTTGTATTAGTCATCTGCTGCCACACAACAATATCGCCATGGGCTCAGTAGCCTGAAACCGCGCACGCTTACTACCTCGTGGCTCAGCTTAGCTGGGGCCCCTGCGAGCGGCTGTAGGGTTGGCCAGGGTGGCCGTCTTAGCTAAGACTCAGGGTCCCCTTCCCAGCTCCTGCATTGGGTTCCTGGCAGGTGTCAGACCGAGGCTGCATTTTCTCCCGGGCAGTTGGACACCAAGCCAGTTGACCCTTTCCTCCAGCAGCTCTCCACAGGGCAGCTGGCCTCCTCAAAGCCAGGAAGAAGAAAGAAGACTCCAGCAAGCTGGGCGCTCCAGTTACATAGTTACGTACGTGTACTCAGGTTCCTCCTGTCGCCCCAGTCACAGGTCCCGCCCACACTGAAGCACAGGGGATTACATAGAGTGTGAACACCAGGAGGCGGGGATCATGGGGGTCACCCTAGAGGGGTGACCAGCCACCCCTAGGTTGCTCTAATTAATTAATTAGTTCACTTGACTGGGCATTAACCATAGCTTGACCCTGTGCTGGGTATTGACACATGCACAAAACGACAACAACAAAGCCATGGTCTCTACCCAACATGAGTGGGGGTGCTGGCTTCCTCCCCCAGTTCGGTCCCGCTCTCCTGTGCATGGCTCTTCATCCTGGCACAGGGAGCTAGGCCTAAGCCTGGGTTCGGGGCTCCCTTCCGCCTGGGGCTTCTGGGCTGTCTGGGGGTGCCCTGGCCTCAGAGTGTGGTCGCCCGGTGACCTCCCAAGCTTGCAGTCCCTCCTGTTTGCCACTGTGGCTGGGCGGCTTCTGCTCAGTGCTGACTTCCATCCCGGCAGCCAGAGAGCCCTCCCCAACATCTGTCCAGCTGCTTTCTCATCACTCCCCTAGAACCTCTGCTGGGGTGGTGGTCAGGGTGGGGCCCCGGGGCACCGCATTGGCTTTTGAGACTTCTCTAGACTCAGTCCACCCTCGTGAGTCACCCCTGTCTTGGGTTAGGATCCCCACAGGTGGAGCCAGAGATGAGAATTCATTTGGGGGTGATTTTGCGGAAAAGCTCACCATAGGGCAGAGGGGACCTGGGCCTGGGCTAGGGGGGCCAGTGAGGGAGTCGTATTCCGACAGGCTTCCTGGAGGGAAGCTCTGAGCCAGCTCTGGAGCCTTTACACCTCAGAGGAGTTACAATCAGGGGAAGGGACCCAGGGCGTTCTCTTCCTCTACCCGTGAGTCACTGGGGAAGGGCTGCCCCAAGGTGATGTGGATTCTCCCGCACTCCCCTCTTTCCTTTCTCCAGGCTGAGCAGCTTCCAGTGGTCTTAGAGCCGCTTTTCGACAAAGAGAGGTGTGCTGCTTGTGAGTAAAAAGACTTGGAGAGCTGGTGCATACAGAGCTTGCGGCAGAAATCCCAGGAGATGCGGGCAGAGAGCTGATAGCATCACCCTGATAAAATCTCGAATTTCAGGATTTCAGTGGGCCTTCTGTTTTCTGCCTGAACTCTGACCGATGCCTGCCTAAAAATCAATTGCCCAATTTTGCTTGTCACTCCAAAAATGTCTTTAAATTTCCCCTATGTATGAGTTCTAGCTTATTCTTTAGCCCAACCTCAGCCCGTTGACATTTGGGGCCAGGTAATTCTTCACGGTTGGGAGCTGTTCTGTGCATTTGTGATATTGCGATTTATAAGAAATGAATATATTTGGTCATTCAGGTGACCAAAATGTATTTCTTGTGTATTTGGTCTTCATCCATGGTTCCTGCTCCCAAAACCCTTGGCATTTCCTGAGCCGTAAGAGCAAAGGGACCATCTTTTGTTAGATTTGCTCTCTTGTCCTCAGTTCCCCAAATCCCTCCAGAGCCACAGAGGTGTAAGGAGTGTCTTGCTATCCATAACAGGCCCCTTTCCACCACGACTGTGTTTATGTTAGTGAGCTGACTTTTGGAAAGCACCTAAGGATAAGGGTTTCTTGTCAGGGGAGCCGACCAACGTGATTAGAGGAACTTTCAGTCCCACCCCCTGACTTCCGGGGCGGGGAGAGGGGCTGCAGGTTCACCACTGGCCAATGATTTCAACAGTCACACCTGTGTGATGAAACCTCCATAAAAACCCAAAAGGAGGGGGTTCAGAGAGCTTCCAGATTGGGGAATCAGAACACTTTTATGTGCCACTGTGCCTGGCCCCAAGCTCCACAAGGAAAGAAGCTCCTCTGCTCAAGACCTCACCCTATGTAACTCTTAATATGGCTATTGATTCGTGTCCTTTAAAATCCTTTGTAATAAGTCGGTAATCTAGCGAGTAAATGGGTTTCCTGAGTTCTGTGAGTCATCCTAGCAAATAAATGGAACCCAAGGAAGGGGGCATGGAAACCTCTGATTTATAGCCAGTTGGTCAGAAGTATGGGTAACCACCTGGGTTTGTGAGTGGCATCTGAAATGGAGGTCCATCTTGTGGGACTGGACCCCTTGCCTGTGGATCTGATGCTGTCTCCAGGTAGGGAGTGTCAGAACTGGGTTGAATTCTCAGACACTGAGAATTGCTTGTTGGTGTGGGGAAGCCTATACACACACAGGAATTGGAATCAGGCCCAGGAACCCCAAAGAACATTGTAAAATGTTTAGCAGCCTCCCTGGCCTCTTTTCCCACTAGATTCCAGGAGCACCCCCTGTCCGGTGTGACAGCCCACAATGTCTCCAGACATTGCCAAATGTCCCCTGGGGACAAGCTGCCCCTGGTCAGGGACCACTGCTTCGCCCTGGAAGCCTAGCCGAACCTGGGCTCCGTGTTTCTTGCATGGCTCAATAAGCGATCGGTGGGGAGGCAGGACTGCATGTTTCCCCACCTCCACTATTGAACTGGAAACTTCCTGGGGGTACACCTTGTCTGTCTCAACCAGTGCCCATAACTGCTTTCAAAAAAGGTAAAAAAAAATAATAATAATAATGATAAAGGAAAGTGCTCCCATTAAGAACAATTTTAATCAGAATCATCTGTTCAGTCATGTTATACAACTAGATACCTTTGATGTCTGCTGGTGAGCAGCGACTTCTTTTTTTTTTTAAAGATTGTATTTATTTATTTGAGAGAGAGAGGGAGGGAGCACGAGTGGGAGGAGTGGGAGAGGGAGAAGCAGACTCCCTACTGAGCAGGGAGCCCGAGGCGGGGCTCGATCCCAGGACCCTGAGATCACAACCCGAGCCGAAGGCAGATGCTTAACCAACTGAGCCACCCAGGCACCCCAAGAAACAGCTTCTGAAACAGAAACACAAGGCTCAACACCCCTCAAGTCTCCACCAGTTACTAAAAGCAAGGACAGTCCACCACCCGTCTCAAGGGACGGCAAATGGTGGACACCTGGAAGGGGGACACCCAGCTACCTCTATGCTGACAACTGGAAACAGCAGCTATTGAAAGATAACGCAGAGTGGGGCCTTCTTAACTCCAGTCTATAATTATGAGGATTTTTGCTGTGGTCGCTGCCTCCTCCCACCACGTACACGTCCTGCAGAGAGAGGAAGGAGACGCGGCAACTTGGGAGACATTTCACCCTCCCTGGCGACACATCAGATTGGCCACTCCGACAAGACCAAAGGTGAGACCCACGCTTTTATTTGGCCAAGTAGTGTAAAATGTGAATTTTTATGTGTATTATAATATTCCAAATCTTATATATTCTTTTGACAGTAGAGATGTGTTGTAAATCAGCATCTAAACTCTGCGGCTTTATAAATCACAGAATTACTTAATGAATTTCCGTAATAATTTCCACTTCCAAAAACAGTGCTTCCTGGGGCGCCTGGGTGGCTCAGTCGTTAAGCATCTGCCTTTGGCTCAGGTCAGGGTCCCAGGGTCCTGGGATCGAGCCCCACATTGGGCTCCCTGTTCCGCGGGAAGCCTGCTTCTCCCTCTCCCACTCCGGCTGCTTGTGTTCCTGCTCTCGCTGTGTCTCTGTCAAATAAATAAATAAAATCTTAAAAAAGAACAAAAACAAAAACAAAAAAACAGTGCTTCCTGCGACTAGAAGTGGATGAAATGATTACTTCTTTCTTTTTTTCTTCCTCTCTCCTTCCTTCCCTTCCCCCCATTTGACATTCTTATCTTCTTATTTGACAAGATTGACTTTGTTTCTCTGAACTGGATGTTTACATTTTTGCCCACAGAATGCCAAGATCACAGATAGATTTCAGCAAACTAAGACAAAATGCCAACTTATCTGTTTGATGAAGGTAGGGTGGTGGGAGGGGAAGCCGCGATCAGTCAAACACCTGCGTGTAGTTTCAGCCCAAACTAATCCACCTCCCAAATGCATCCGGGAAGCGATTGGTTCTCATAGCTATAAGCGTTAGCAAGAATGGTCCTGGAGATTCCTTTAGGTAACTCTTCTAGTGTCTTCTTGTAATGCATCCAAGGATTTCAAAATGACTATGAAAAACACGAAGGCATAAAAGACATGAAACAATTTTGGAGCCCAGTGTAACCCACTCAAAAACAGGACTAGCCAAAGCCCATGCAGAGAGGGCTGTGTTTGCCTTGGGTGGGGAGAGGGCATAGACCCGGGAGCTGGGGTGGGGGGGCCGGGCAGGGCTCTGCCTCCGGGTGCTCACAGCCCTTGCTCTTCTGTGTCCAGCTCCCCGAGGGCGCACAGATCTGGGTTTTCTCTCCCTGTGTTTCACGTGTTTTGCTGCCTGTTTTTACACCCTTTCGGTAGTCACCTGTGAAGAAGGTGGTTGGTCAGGGGACTCCATTTACATATTTTCAAATCACACCCAGTAAGGGCCTCCTTTGTCTCTATCCAGGGTAAAGCGGTTGCTGAATTTTTCACTTTTCAAACATGCTGTCGTGGATTACAAACAGCTTATATCACCTCAGTTTCTTTTGCTAGAAAATAATCTTTTTAAAAAAATAAATGATGTTAAAGA